AGCCAGCGGCAGCAAGGCACCCGATTCGGCACCTCAGGCGCCGAATGCTGCGCCTCAGGCGCCTGATTCTGCACCTCAGCCGCCGAATGTGGGACCTGGTTGTTCAGCATCCAGCAGCCCGCAGCAGCCAGGGGCAGCCAGCGGCAGCAAGGCACCCGATTCGGCACCTCAGGCGCCGAATGCTGCGCCTCAGGCGCCTGATTCTGCACCTCAGCCGCCGAATGTGGGACCTGGTGGTTCAGCATCCAGCAGCCCGCAGCAGCCAGCCGCAGGCAGCGGCAGCGAGCCGCCCGATTCGGCACCTCAGGCGCCGAATGTGGGACCTCGTGGGTCAGCATCCAGCAGCCCGCAGCAGCCAGCGGCAGGCAGCGGCAGCAAGGCACCCGATTCGGCACCTCAGGCGCCGAATGCTGCGCCTCAGGCGCCTGATTCTGCACCTCAGCCGCCGAATGTGGGACCTGGTGGTTCACCATCCAGCAGCCCGCAGCAGCCAGCAGCCCGCAGCAGCCAGCGGCAGGCAGCTGCAGCGAGGCGCCCGATTCGGCACCTCAGGCGCCTGATTCTGCACCTCAGCCGCCGAATGTGGGACCTGTTGGTTCAGCATCCAGCAGCCCGCAGCAGCCAGGGGCAGCCAGCGGCAGCAAGGCACCCGATTCGGCACCTCAGGCGCCGAATGCTGCGCCTCAGGCGCCGAACGCGGCGCCTCAGGCGCCTGATTCTGCACCTCAGCCGCCGAATGTGGGACCTGGTGGTTCAGCATCCAGCAGCCCGCAGCAGCCAGCAGCCCGCAGCAGCCAGCGGCAGGCAGCTGCATCAAGGCGCCCGATTCGGCACCTCAGGCGCCGAATGCTGCGCCTCAGGCGCCGAACGCGGCGCCTCAGGCGCCTGATTCTGCACCTCAGCCGCCGAATGTGGGACCTGGTGGTTCAGCATCCAGCAGCCCGCAGCAGCCAGCAGCCCGCAGCAGCCAGCGGCAGGCAGCGGCAGCAAGGCACCCGATTCGGCACCTCAGGCGCCGAATGCTGCGCCTCAGGCGCCTGATTCTGCACCTCAGCCGCCGAATGTGGGACCTGGTGGTTCAGCGGCCAGCAGCCCGCAGCAGCCAGCGGCAGGCAGCTGCATCAAGGCGCCCGATTCGGCACCTCAGGCGCCTGATTCTGCACCTCAGCCGCCGAATGTGGGACCTCGTGGTTCAGCATCCAGCAGCCCGCAGCAGCCAGCGGCAGGCAGCTGCAGCAAGGCGCCCATTTCGGCGCCTCAGGCGCCGAATGCTGCGCCTCAGGCGCCTGATTCTGCACCTCAGCCGCCGAATGTGGGACCTGGTGTTTCACCATCCAGCAGCCCGCAGCAGCCAGCGGCAGGCAGCGGCAGCAAGGCACCCGATTCGGCACCTCAGGCGCCGAATGCTGCGCCTCAGGCGCCTGATTCTGCACCTCAGCCGCCGAATGTGGGACCTGGTGGTTCAGCATCCAGCAGCCCGCAGCAGCCAGCGGCAGGCAGCTGCAGCAAGGCACCCGATTCGGCACCTCAGGCGCCGAATGCTGCGCCTCAGGCGCCTGATTCTGCACCTCAGCCGCCGAATGTGGGACCTGGTGGTTCAGCATCCAGCAGCCCGCAGCAGCCCAGCGGCAGCCAGCGGCAGCGAGCCGCCCGATTCGGCACCTCAGGCGCCGAATGTGGGACCTCGTGGGTCAGCATCCAGCAGCCCGCAGCAGCCAGCGGCAGGCAGCGGCAGCAAGGCACCCGATTCGGCACCTCAGGCGCCGAATGCTGCGCCTCAGGCGCCTGATTCTGCACCTCAGCCGCCGAATGTGGGACCTGGTGGTTCACCATCCAGCAGCCCGCAGCAGCCAGCAGCCCGCAGCAGCCAGCGGCAGGCAGCTGCAGCGAGGCGCCCGATTCGGCACCTCAGGCGCCTGATTCTGCACCTCAGCCGCCGAATGTGGGACCTGTTGGTTCAGCATCCAGCAGCCCGCAGCAGCCAGGGGCAGCCAGCGGCAGCAAGGCACCCGATTCGGCACCTCAGGCGCCGAATGCTGCGCCTCAGGCGCCGAACGCGGCGCCTCAGGCGCCTGATTCTGCACCTCAGCCGCCGAATGTGGGACCTGGTGGTTCAGCATCCAGCAGCCCGCAGCAGCCAGCAGCCCGCAGCAGCCAGCGGCAGGCAGCTGCAGCGAGGCGCCCGATTCGGCACCTCAGGCGCCTGATTCTGCACCTCAGCCGCCGAATGTGGGACCTGTTGGTTCAGCATCCAGCAGCCCGCAGCAGCCAGGGGCAGCCAGCGGCAGCAAGGCACCCGATTCGGCACCTCAGGCGCCGAATGCTGCGCCTCAGGCGCCGAACGCGGCGCCTCAGGCGCCTGATTCTATCG